TCCCATTACTTGTCGGTCAAATGCCGTCTTTTACTGGAGGAATTCCCATCTCTTCCAGGATGGGTATAGTCCCTCCTTTCTTCATATGTATGATTAATATTTTCTGTTATTTAATGCTCAGTTATTGATACCATTCAATGTACATAGTACGTTCGAATTTTATGTATATTTTATTTTATTTTATGACTTTATAAATTTTTGAATTTTGCGTCGATACATTTGAAGTATCCTAATTTAAATTAATTTTGTTTCTTGACATTTTTTATTTTCATAATTTTTTATTGGTTATTTCATATTTTATGAAGGATTCAACACTATAGTTAAAATAAAGAAGTATTTTTCTTGTTTTGATTTTTGCAAAAATGTCCGAATTAGAGTAGGTGGAGGTGTGTAGCTGAGACCAACTCTCATTGGGCAGCAATATTTGTTGTGTTTAACTGATGTTATCAAATTAGTCTGTCATCTAATTCATGCCATGATGTAATATTTTGTCATATTATCATGAACAGGTATAAACATTATCATATTCATAGTTTTTCACTTAGTTCCCTTTTGTGATATTCAACTTCTAAAATCCTTAAAAAATGAATTTTGTCCATTCTTGAAAATTTTTAATTGTATTTTAAAAAGAATAATTTTTTTAAAATTGATATTTGTATAACTTGGTGTCTAATGACAGCTGATAAAAAAAAAAAAAAAAAAAAAAAAAAAAAAAAAAAAAAAAAAAAAAAAAAAAAAAAAAAAAAAAAAAAAAATCAATTTAAACGTGATCTATTTTTCATTATTACACTTTTACAGCGTCGAAAGTTTCATTTTATATCAATTTTCATAATTTTTTATTAAACCACTTTCCTCTTTTAGATGATGTGTTGAAAGACAGATTGTTTAGAAAAGATACTCACCATTATTGTAGTTTGATTTTTTTTTTTAAACTTATTTATTGAAAAATATTACGATCTGTCTCTAGGACATTTATAATAGAGTTCACAGATCACATTCACACTCTATGTACAATAAATATAATAAAATAAAGATTTAGTTTTATATTTGCAAAACATACCAATTTAGAGATTTTTTTCTGAAACGTGTTAGTCGAAAAGATAATTTAAAATTAAAAACTACAGTTTTAAACTCTCTATTAAATATGGAAGAACTGGAGTAACCGACTCCGGTTCAAATTTAGCCTTGGCAAATTGAAATTAATTTCGTGGTAGACCCACGGGATGAATCCCGATCATCCCACTCTGGTTAAAATAGGTTAGCTTGCACTTCTTGAAAAACAAAACAAAAAAACTATGCCAGAAATGGAAAGGTATAGGATATTAAAAAAAATAAATATATTATTGAAACTTAATTTTTTTATTTTAAAAGAAATATTCGAGGTATGAAATTTAAATTAGGTAATTGCTCATATTTAGCTACTATAATGTAATCCTGTTACTGGGGCCGGCTTTTTATTACATACCGTGACGCCCTTTTAGTATTGGCGAGGTTTATAATTAGGCGAAAGCGGTTTATTGTCAGTAGAAACAGATGGTAAAAAATGGAGTGGCCTTACAGCTTTAAAGGGAGAAAATGGTGGCGATACTTAAGGGCCCTTTGTTATCGGGTAGGATCCATCCCTTGGAGGAGGTTGGCCCTTCAACCCCTAATTGAATTATAAAAATTGACTACCCCTGGCAGAGATTGCCGACTATCCCAATCAATCCGCTATTGAAAGAGGTTAATTAGTCCTATATACCTGTCCTAATTATGTTTAGCGATCCCTTTACCTCCACCTTTTTCAAAGACAAAATCAATTTGCGTTTTCCCTCCCCCGCCCCTCCTCAGGGCTTCATATTTGCTGATTAGTTTCTTGTGCCTTGATTGGAAAGCTTCTACCTCTCCTTTGCAAGCGGGGGCTTTCCACCTTTACGCAACATTAGTAATTAATTTGTTATTACTTAATTGCACTTGAAATAACAAACTTAGAGAGAGTCGTCTCTATCAAAATCCTCTTAATGGAATAATATGCAGTGCCTATGCCTTTGTGGCCTTTTGTACTGTTTTAATTATTTATATTCATATTAAATAAAATTAAGGGATCCCTCCTATCAGTAAATATATACATATTTAATTATATGAGAAGGAGTTAGTCGGGGGTGCGGTCAAATAAATACTAAATTAAAATATAGTAATTATTTTAATTTTTACCGACGTTTCGGCCCACTTTGCAGGTCGTCTTCAGGGTTTTTATTGTAAGTAAAGAGATAACGGGACTAAAGGTTAAGAAGTGAAGAAATTGAAAGATTAATAGGGTAACATTAGTGTAATATCGTTAGGATAGATTATTAAGTATAAATAACTTATAAGAAAACAACAATTTTAAAAGAGAACTTTAAAATGTAAGAAAAAATGTAGAACAAGGTTATGATGATAAAGAAACAAAAACAAGTTGTACTATATATAGATGACAATTGACATTCAGTTTTTTGAAAGCGGTAATGGAATAGTAGGCTGCATGAAGATAATAATAAGGTGTATAGTTGAAGGATAGGTGTGTTAAAAAAAGAATCACAATCAAAGTCAAAACATATTTAATTATAACACATATATAGCAAATGAAATTATTAGATTATAGAAATTTTGAATACTTCCGTACCAAAACCTTTGCATAAAAACCATCGTCAGCATTCTGTCGCAAATATCATGTAAAAAAAGCCTTTTTGTTTTATTACTTTTAGAGTGAAGTGGTGGGATAAGTGTATTAATTGGGTGTATTTAATAAGGTTTATTATTACTTCAGTAAAAACAGGAGAATTGCATTTGTCCCAAATCCGGGTGTTTGTGTTTATATCCGAATCCGGCTAATGACTAGTTATTTTTCATCGGCCATGGATCGATCCTGGGGTCGGGAGATCCTTCTGGGGCACATCCTAGTTTACACAAAGTGGGTACTATTAATGATATAATTAATTAAGGGGGAAAACAGTTGAGCGTGATATCACCTCCCTGCACAACTATTGGTCTTGTAACAGTACTTCGTCACATAGTGCTGAACCCAAGACCCTGCACGGATTATAGTGGAACAGGTTTTTTTTTTTTGCTCTATTGAAAATCGTGTGAGGAGACACAGCTTATTTTAAATATAACAATTTGGAAATAATAAACCTTTGTGTTATAATGTATATATATTTTTTTATTGTTATTTTTAACATTTTGATTTTCTTTTTGTTGCAGGCGAAGCTGGATAAGAGCTCGATGAAGCCATCTCGGGTGGTCCACCTTCGTAACATCCCCAACGAGGTTACGGAGGCGGAAATCATCCACCTGGGCATTCCATTCGGCAGAGTGACCAACGTACTAGTACTTAAGGGCAAGAACCAGGTAATATATTATATTTTGTATTTATAGCATCTTTACATTTATAAGATCCGCTATTCATTCATAATAATTAACAGAACTAGTATTGCTAACTCGTTTCGCATTCATTTGCAGTGTCACGAGTTCGTAAACAGTATTCTGCACTTCTCAAACTAAGCTGTATTCGTTAAGTTTGTCAAACTAGAACAACCAAGTAGTGGTACTTTATTTTGCTCGGGGACGGTCCTAAGTTCCATTACGGTGACGTGTTTAATCAATAATGAAAGCCGAACTGAAAAGCTGCGATGTTTATTCCTTTTCACTTTTTGTTTTAACACAGGCATATTCCTCAGCTCATGGATAAAAGGGCCGCTAAAGTTTGTTTGCAGGAAGTGCTGATTAGACAATTATTATACCTTTTTAAGATTAATGAGTTATTTTAGAAGCAGTCAGTTATAAATAAAAAACTTAAAAAAATAAACTTAAGGGTTTATATATATATGTGTGTGTGTGTGTGTGTGTATACATTTTTTTAATAAGTTCTTGCTTTAAACAAGACGATCGTTTTTCCGTGATGCTTTATAAAAAAGGTTTGAATTTTGGTTGACCAATATCTGTGCTTGGTTATGGCTACCAAAAACAAAATGATTTAGTGCTGTTAAAATGAGATACGGAAACTATAAAATTAAATACAACAACGTTGATGAAAAATAACAAAGAACCTGGACTATAAGAAAATACGGATACAACAAAACATTTTGTTAGCTGCTAAAACGATCACAAATTTTGGTAATATATATATATAGATGGGAATAAGTTCGTTAACAGAGAGAAGTTTAGGTATCAGATAACTAGTTAGTGATATAGTTTAGAGTACAGAGTATAATAAAAAACGAAATTGAATAGGAGATTAAGGTTATATTGAAGTTAGGAATACTTGTTATTTTTCTGCAATAAAATTACTTGGGTCACGCAATCTGTTCAGAAATATAAAAACTACGGTTTACAAAACTGTTATTTTATCTAAGATTATTTACGGATGCTAAGCGTGGCCCTTTACATTTCGGAATGAGCAACGTATTTGAAATATAATATAAATTTACGTAGAATATTCGGACAGAAGAAAGATGAGTCAAATGACGAATTTAGACAGCTACACAAGCTGAATTGCATGATCTGTACGCAGCCAATACAATTTAGGTGATTACTTTGCGGCGAGTGAGTATGTAAAATTTCGGGCCTCGTAATGATAAAATACCGAAAAGGTTAATAGGTCCTGTGCCGAATGGTGAGCGTCTTAGTGGTAGATCGATGCGAAGTTGACAAGATTAAAGATTGCGTTGAAACTTTTGGAGGGAATTTTTGGACGGCGATTGGTGGATGTTTTCGGCATCGAGCCTCCGGGTTTGCTTAGCCTTGAATTATTATTATTGTTATTCTTATAAGTTCTTGAGCGATTATCCTTGGATCTTCACCTCATGTCAAGTCAATCAGCACAGACGATCTGTTCCTACCACTTTAACAGCTAAAATAATAAAAGGGAACTATAATCAGGAACTCGATGCTCATACGATTTACTTCTCCCGCTAATATAAAATTTGCAATCGGAGCCGATCCCTAACCAGAGAGCGGGACCTTAATGATTGATCGTTTTTGAAATGACTACTCCAGAGCTGCGGCGAAGACAGCTGTCAAGAAGGAGGTGGAGCTATCGACAGGTAGAGCCGAGGGCTGTGGGCTGAGGATTGAGGGCTGTTTGTTAGGGATGGATAAAGGTGGCCACTAAGTGTGAACGACATTAATGAGATCTGCTCCCGGGTTAAACACTAATGACAGTCAGATAACTGTCTGCAACTGTCTCCTAATGAGTTTTTAACTACCTCTCGCGGATATAGCAAACGTTTCAGCATCTATCTCCAACCTGTTCCGTTTCCTTCCTCCAACATCTAGTCTCATATGGTCACCATAATAATAATAATGATCATCTCCATAGAGGTTGTTATAGGAACGATGCATTTTTTACATTTTCGAAAGTGTCGCTTTAACTGTTTTTTTTTTTTAAGTTTTCATGAATGTCCTAATATATATCTAATAGTAAAAGATAATTTGCTTATCGGATTCAATTTTAATGCATTTTGGAGTTACAATTTAAATAATATATTGCCAAAATAGGACATGTGTTAGACTAGTCTTAAGGTCAATAAAAAGAAAAACATAATTTCAATGTTTTAGTGTTCCCTGCAACCAAAATATATTTTAAAATAACGCTCTGTCAGTAACGCCGACGCCTATTTTTGGCCTCGATGTAAACAAGAATTCTATAATATATTCGATTTCATACCTTATGGTTTGTTTATTATCGTTAGAATAATCCTAGAATTGAGGATTATAATATATGTTGCAATAATAAGGTTTGTTCTGCCGGTTAGTGCTCCAAAACCGACTGAGCTAAGCCTGGGAACATACCCTCGGTTGCTGCTAACAGACGAGGAGGACAGAACGGCGGGGAGATTAAGTGTGAGTAAACAGGCGGGGGAAGAGACGTGACGCGGGGACCCAACACGTAGCTAGGCCTGTGATCTATAGCCCACCTGATCGCCTTAGTTAAACCTTCAACTTGGCTAAATTAGGGAACCCCGTGACACGTAGCGGGGGTTTCATTCGCATTAGTTCAGTTTGGGTATAGGCTGCTGTATCGGTTATTCCGAAAGTAGTATTCAGGGTCGAGAGGATCGGATGGTACTTTAGGGCATGATTTTCGAATTAAGAGTTTCCCCAGTAGATTTATAGTTATTTTTTTTTACCTTTGTGGTTTTATTTAGGGTGAATTATTATTTTCGTTTATATGTGTTAAAAATCTGTTAACCATTTATTATCCGATAAGAAATTAAATATTAAAATGAGCGGAAAATAATAATTTGAAATCGTTCCTTGATATGTTTATATCGATTAGTTTACCAAGCGTGCAGTGTAATAATCTAATAAAACGATGTTCTCATCTCAAATTCTTCAACATTATCCGAATCCTCTAGTAAAATCCTTGCCTAACTCCATCCATCCTTACAATTTTCCATCTAACCGTTTCTATCCAAAGATAGAAACGGTAGTGACCCGCGACCTTTTGTAAATGTGTGTAAAAGGAGTTCCGACAATGGCCAGATTCGTCCTCCAGAGGTTTATATCTGGCTATGGTGCTCTCGCTCTCCACTAGCTTTTAGTAGCAGTGACGCGGATGAGAGAGTAGCACAAGATACTCCTTGAATCCTTATTTTTCCTCAACAGGTGGAGGACAAGCTTGGTTCGGTGCTTCCTTGATTGATTGTAAATATTATAGGCATGGCTATATTTTTAGAATGTTTATTTTAGTTTTACTCGACTTCAAATCTATTGTTTTTGTTTATTTTTCTTTTGTATGTATATGAATGAACAATGCCCAATGCCCATGTGTGTAAAAAAAAAAATGAATGCGGCATATCGTGTTATTATTCAGTAAACTTCTCCAGTGTTGAGTCTTGAGTTTTGATTTCATAATTTTAATGGTCATTTTTATTAAAGGTTTATGTCTGACTTAACTATTTCAATTTCGCTTGTGATCATTAATTTGATCTAATCTTTCAGCCAGTATAACTAATTTCAGCAATGTAAAAAAAAATAATTTAAAAATATTAAATAATCCATTTTTAGAATTTACCTTTATTTTATTCTAGAAGGATAATTTTGGATAAAATAACAGAAAGATAAGAACTAAACATGTAAGGTTTAACATTGGTGGATTTAGGAAAAAAAAAAATAGAAAAGTTTAGGCAAGAAATACATGACAGTCCTGACAAAACTGCTTTGTTGCATCGTTAGTTTACAGTATGGATATACTCTTCAACACTTACGGTATTGGAAAACTAATCTCTTAAATGTGCCTTGAAGTTTTACATTTTATACTAAGTACATCCTAATTCTTAACTTCTCTTCTTCAGAAACTACATTCCATATCCATTTCACATTTCATACTTCTTCTTAGGAGATTTTTTTTCTTTCGTTTTTCTCCTCACATTACAAGTTTTGTTCAGTTTTCTCTCTCATCTTTTACCTCATCTATTATCTATGGCTCTCCATATTGAATTTTGAATTATCTGTAAATATGTTTGCTGGTCGAAACAGTCCATATGGATCGTTTAGATAATGATAATAAAAAAAGAGGTAATCTACAATTTTTTTACGTTTTGTATAAATAAACAGGGCATATAGCATCTCGCCGTTTGATCCGGAAGTGTTTTAGCAGGATTAATTTGTGTGTTGGATTAGCGGTGTTAGTTGACGTGTGACGATATGGACCGAGGGTAGAGTGTAAAAAAACAGGACTACAGAGCAGAGGGCCCGGAGAAAAACATTGCGGGTCCGTTCGAAAAACAGAAAGAGGAGAGGTGTTGATTTGCATGGAGCAAAGACAACACTTGCTTAAAGGTGGCCGGCCCTAGGAGGCCCTTAGCGGGGGTAGGGAACCGTTAGGGCACGGCTCGCTGCCCTTCTCTCTCTTCTATTTGTTATTTTATTGGCTCCCTATATTGCCTCCTCTTCCCTACTCTATTACTCCACAGTTCCTAGTCGGAAGGAAGCTTTTTGCCCTCACAGGGCGTGTGTCCATCGCGTGCTATCCATGTCATATTGCTTAGTCTGATTTCAACGTCATTAATCGTGCCCTAGCAGACGATTCGGGATATGTCTGATGTGACGGTTGCTTGGACATATGATTGCTCCTTCAAAACGTGATTTTTACTTTGACCAAAATTGAAATTGATTTTAGTGTAGTCACGAGGTTTGTGAGAAAAGTAATGAGACTTATTTATTATATACCTTTTATTTTTTTCAAACAACGATATTGTCCCTTTTTAAGCAGTTCCCTTATGCAACTATACACTGCCGAGTCGTTCCTAGTCTTGGTACGAGAGCTGAATTGCTTCAACTGGTAGGACCTTTAACATGTCAGTCATATTGTTTTGATTGTTGCCATAAATCTCAATCGCCTTTTTCCTGAGTCTTTTAAAGACATCTTTGTAAAACACTTACTTTCTGACATTTTCGTCGGTTATTGAAGTCGAAGGTCTCCTTGGACAAGGTTCTTCAACCTATTCTCTGGCTTTTAAAAATGATATGTGCCAGCGAAAAACTTGTAACTTGTAAATGTTATCCAGCATAAGGATGGCTGTTTTAACTTTTCAAAGATCATGGTTTCCCCAATTATATTATATATAATTTAACCTAACACTTGATGTTGCTCTAAATTCCGATGTTTCAATTCTGTAACACGCAACTAAACTGTTAGCACTCTCGAAAATAGCTGAAATTAGAATTGAACATCTGGAAGGGATGAACAAACCTGTCAAGATAAACAGAACAACAAAGCGTTTGCCAGATTACTCGCAGTGTTATGTTACAGTGTCTCATTACTTTTCGTACACACCTCTTATGTTATTTCGTACAATAAACAATCCCTGATTCAGTTTATACCTTTATATTTATTTTTAAGTACTCTGAAATTTGAAAATGAAAAAGTCATTGCGAAAAGTCATTAAAAAAAAAAAGGATTAATTTGTATATTCTATAATGAAGGTTAATATATAATTATTTGTTACAGGCATTCCTCGAGATGGGCGATGAGGTTTCGGCTGCATCCATGGTACAGTACTTCGGAACCGGAATGGCACAGCTAAGAGGAAGAGCTGTCTATGTCCAGTTCTCAAACCACAAGGAACTCAAAACAGACCAAACTCACAGTAATGCGGTAAGCATTCTTTGAAATTTATTGTAATTTAATAGTTATATCTAATGTAACCAACCATTGATATTACGAGTTTTTCCTTCTCCCTTTACATTTTGAAATTATCAAGTTTTAATCATCGCATCACCGCAGTAAAGATGTTTTAAAGTGTGTTGAAAAATTAAAAATTTTGATGAACTTACAATATATATATATATATTTCGACGGTTTAGTCTATTCGTTATTATGATATTGTTTGATGAACTAATGAACAAACTTAGTGCGATATGTTTCCTTCTAAAATTTTATTTCCTTTGTGGAAAGCAAATTACCTCACGATATATGAGCAATACGACATGATTTAGAAATATGGCCTCCGATAGGCAGTCACGAATCGACAATTAGAGACAGAGTTACAGCAAGCGGAAGTGCTATGCAGATGTAAGGGAGCTAGGCTATTGCCTCACTAAATCAAGGTAAGGTAACTGACAGCTATCGTATCCGCGTCTACCAAATTCTGCTGGGTCCTAATTTCTCCATCCATCTCTCCGAAAAGGAATACTGTCATATTTTTTATGAAGAATAATTCTCAACCCAATTTTTTTTAAATATAAGATTGTGTATTATTGGTACTTCAGACAACTTTATGTCATGGCCCTTTGCCAAGATTGAAGATTAAAGATGTTCATTAACGGTTCATTGTTGCCATTCGTACCGTTCGGATTATGATTTTATTTACGATCTCATTAGTGCCCCGCCATAATAATTAATAGGGTTGTTAAAACCCTTTACAAGTTTTACTGTAGAGTCATTTAATGTAAGGACTAAATACCTTAACTCTCAAAATGAGAGGGACGATTTGAGGAGTACGAAACTGTTACATTTCCTCCAGTAAGATTTGGGCCAGTTAGGAGCATTAGTTAGTGACTTACCTTGACTGGAAGAAGGGAGGGGAATGGATCGTCGACTTTAATTAATAAAGCCCCACGGCAGCGGGGAGGCCGGGTTAGGTTGGAGTTTTAATCCAAATCCCGTTGACTTAGCCGCTGTTTAACTATAGAAACCCTAGGGGGCGGGGGCGGGGGGCAACTTTGTGCCTCGGGGAAAACTTGCCTTCAATCCTCTCTTAAGAGAAAGGATTATGAAATATATATAAAGGGGACTGCTGGAAAACTTGTAAGTCCTGCCACTGGGATAAAGTGATGCTCTTCTTCAAAAGGAAGCCGCCCTGGCTCCACTTTGTCTCCATTCGCCTTCCAGCCGGTTCATGGAAGGAAAAAATCTTGGCCACGGTTATTATCTTCAATGCTGCTGGCCCTTTGGCTTCAATAGGACTGTGCCTTTACTCGAAACTGTGTGTTCTTTCTTTAGAAGAAGTCGCCACAATTTATCCTAGATATCTTTTTTTTTTTTTTTTTTTTTTATTATTTAGTGTCGAAAATCTCTTTACACAGTTGCGTTTAATGTTTTGACCCTTTATTATTTTGTGTCTTGTCTGGAATTATATACTTTTATACTTTCTAAAAAAACACAATTAAGCAATAATTAATTGCAAAGTCAGATTATTTTTTTAACCTATGATAGGACTTAATTAATGTGTAATTGTTTTTAAAATGGGGGGAAGTTGGAAGTTATTCTTTTATGCAAGGATTCCAAAATGTTCGTTGGAACTATCTTGATTATTGCTTGTTAAAACTATTTTCACATATTTGGATATGGAGTCATTAGAATCTTTAAAAAAACATAAGATAAGGTTGTAAAAAATGAGAAGTATTTTTTTTGTACATTAAGGGGTTACCTGTAATTGAAATGTTGCTGATGTTCTGGTCATTTTCTCAAGCATTCTGGTTAGTATATTAATACAATAGAATGTTATTTTTTAACCACCCCTAACCATTTTGTACTCCGTTATGAACAACTACTAGAGGTAAACTACACACTGCAATAAGAAGTGTAGCTCAACTCACTCTGATTTTTTTTTTGTTTTCGTGTGATATACGTAAACCTTTCATTCTGCAAAACATAATTTAGTAGTCACCACCACGAATCATTTTCTGCTGCTTTGGAAATCTTAGCTGCCCCCGAAGACGGTCCGGATAGGACAGTTATAGCAGCGGAGGTATCGAGTGTAGAACGGTATACATGATATTCCCATCAAGCTAGGATTACTTGATAATTGCCAGCACCTGCGCCCCAAACAGGACCCCAATCACCATCTATAAACTTTTAGCTGAGTTTCTGGCTGCTTCCAGGACGTGATCTGACCCTCGTCCAACTTTACCATCCGCTATTTCCGAAAAACATATATTTTAGATTTCTCTTAATTTAATTTATTGCAGTTTTAATTAGGCTAAGATTCTTGTCATACAGTCGTCTTATTGTATACAATTGGATATATCCTCTTTTAAGATATTACTAGCACAATGGAGAATTATTTTAGATGTCAATCCTTATTTTATTCCTTACATTTACGCGGTACCGACGACATGTGAATTGTCATCCAGTGATATCCCATCAAAATGTGTAAATGTTGAATACAAAGAAATAACTTTTAGAAAGAAATAACTTTCGTACATGACGAAATTCCAAATATATTCGATCGACTCTGACGATAATGCGATTCAGAGGGAGGATTTTGAAAAGATACGTTGAAAACCACACACAATTTAACCCGATCACCTGCCATGGGAAAGTAATGAAACACATACAGAAAATAGAATAAGCTGTATCATCGTCATCCTGGCTCTATTTTTCTTTTTTTTTTTTTTTTGTTTTGTTTTGTTTTGTATGGAATTTAATTATCTTTCAAAAGATTATAAATAAAATTTACCAAAACATGTACATTTTGCGAGTTATAGCCATTTTTTTTTCTTTTCTTTACAACTAGTTTTCCTGTACTTTCTCAGGAATGCACTACATGTATAAAAAATTGAAAGACCTTTTAAAAGTTTCATTTAAATCCTTAGAGCCGTTTTTCTCTACAATCTTTAGGAGAATAAGTAATTGCGTTGCCCATATTGCTCTGGAAAGGTCTGATTATATTGATAGGTACTGGTGGCCGAACCTCTACAAAACGAAAAAAGAAGCATAATAATCGGTTCACGCGTTCGCGAGATTGTCGTGTCACGGACGAACAGAAATCCGAAATGGGTTCTGTAACGTAAAGCTCCGTAGAAAGCAGCTCTTTGAAAGTTTTATTTGATCACATTACTTCCCGGCAGGAAAGTAAAAATGGTAGGGTTTCGAAAACTAAAAATTCTTTTTAACAAAGCGATCAATAGTAAAAAATTAAACAAGTGAGTAATTATTATTAAAATTAAACAACTCTGTAAAGGTTTGTTATAGGAATAAATTTCATTTTAATTTAACTTCTTTATATTGTAATAGCCCATCAGCCGATCAATGTGAAGGAGGTTTTGCTGGTAATGATGTGTTGCAGTAATTGTAGCTCCATAGAATGAGATGTAAAATCGAGACTAGGTTTGATAATCGATTGTATAAAAAGATAAAGGAGGCAGAGTGTATTATCTATAGGCGTTGGGGAGCCATCGGGCAGCTCGTTACAGGGGCGCCCCTAAATCAGGGGCGTTCCCAAAGGAAAGCTATTTATATGAGCCTCGTTAAAGCTCTAGTTTATCTCTTTGCGGCACGGCTCTCGCGGTCTTTAAGTCCTCCCTTTCCAGCTGTCTTCTCTTCTTCGTCTTCTCTTGTTTCCTCCTTCATCTCGCTCTGGTAATCGGTTCGCTCATTGAGGTTCCTTGTCAAGAATTTACACCTAGTTGAGACCGCTAGATTGTGGCCCTCATGTTAACACCCTTACTCTAGAAGAATTCATAAACAACTGGTGCCCCAATCTCTATGTTCTGTTTTTGGTCATGAGGCGAATCAACTATAATTTCCTGTTATTGATTCCTCATTCGCATCAAGTTACTTTCACATTCTGAGGAACCCATTTTTCTGGTATTATTCTACAATTCATCCATATCTGGAATTGAAGGGACATCTATTAACTTTATATAAGAAAAATCATTAATTGAACTAGTTGGTATTAAAGGATTTAGGATTCCATTTTGGGAAGCAGCTTAATTTTTTTTTTAAATAATAGTAATTACAGTAACAGTAATAATGCTTTTAGGTATTGTTATTATATGTTTATAGGGATGTGCTGTAAACATATTTTATTATATCTAGACTGCAAATTCTTAGTATTTATCATCCCAATATTCAACTTAAAATATATATTACCTCTACAAGCTTCTGGTATGTTTTTATAGATTTTATTGGACGTTTATAATTTTTTTTTTTTTTATGTTGAAGTTTAATAGTGTGAACTAACCTACAAATGGATTTTGTTCACAATTTAATTGAAATTTTTACTGATTTCATCTCTAAAATTTTATTTAGTTTCTCATATCGACAATATATAATTTAGGATAACCTACTCTGTTCTGCAACATTCAAACCATCGTTTCCATCTGATCTTTCCTGAAACGCTGGTTCGATTATGTGAAAGACCCAAAATTCAGAGTTATTTGTTTTATCTTGATCTGGTAGATATAACTTCAATATGTAACAGTTCTGTTCTTAATGATACTTTTTTTAAAAATTAACTATTCGATTCTCAAGTATGTAACTACATAGGACTTAGACACTGCTTCGAGATATTTGTTTTTAATCATTCAATTGTTTTCGGCTGTAATAATTAGTGCATCTTAGTAACCTATTCAGGTAATTTATTTAGGTAAGTTATTTATTTGATGTTATATAGTATCAATTATTCCGTCGATGTTGAAGATAAATATTAATATGCTTGTTAATCCTTTTTGTTATAGTCTCATTGTTTTGATTTTTTTTTTTTCACTGCTTCTTTTCGGCTTCAAGCGTTATTTTATAGTGGAATAAGGCTAAATAACCTATTCTGAAATAGTTCGGGCGGGGTGGTTTTTTTTTATTTTTTAATTCAGGGAAGGTAGGGGAGGGGTTTGAAAAAGGGCATTGTGAATTGTTTAAAAAGCAGAGGAGGGGAGGGGAGAGTTAAT